TGTATGTTCAATAGTTAAAACATAGATCCAAAGTAGGTTGCATGTGAACTTAGGAATTGTTTTCTAGTTTATTTGTTGTACCTAAATCCCATCAAAATGACTTAACATGCATCTTTATTTGTACTTGAGGGATCATACCTAAAACCCTAATGGGCCAAGCCTATTGGCCTATAGGCCCATGAAAGCAGTCAACCAATCACAATCCGCCATGCAGCATCTCTTGGAGCATTCATCTTTGCATGAGCATCAACAACACACATGATGGAGCATCATGATCCATAGTGGCATATCAGGATACAAAAGTGGCATATCAGGATTACCATGTCATATCAACTATCATGGTCGCACATCAAGCAATAATCCTTGAGCATCTTCAACTTTTGAGCTTCCTTGAATAATTTTGAGCATCACAGGGGACTTCATAGCATACGGCTCATCAGGGGATACCTTGGCATATCAAGGAACCAAGTATCACATCCATGCATCAAGATGACGCATCAGGTATGAGGATGACACATCATAATCAAGGGATGGCATATCCTCTCCAAGGTTGACATATCTAGACATCCACTCCACAATGACGTATCCACCTCATGAATGGCATATCCAGTCACTTGATGGCATATCATGTTGGTGGCATATCCAATCACTTGATGACATATCATGTCACTTGGTGGCATATCAAGTCACTTCGTGGCATATCAAGTCATTTCATGACATATTAAGTCACTTTGTGGCATACCAAGTTCCAATAGTAGCGCACATTGACTTCTAAGTGGCGCATCCAAGCATAGGTGGCTCCAGTCCACTTCCAGGTGCTACATACCTCCTTTTATAAGATCCGTTCTTTTGTCACTTGATCCGTTCCTTTGTCAGGAGATCCATCCCTTTCTTAGATGATATGTTCCTTTGATACATGCTCCATGAACCCCAAGTGCTCCATTGAACTCAAATGCTCCATATGAATGCTCCAAATGTTCGAGTCACATTTTACAGCATATTTCCCAATAACCAATCTTGCAATCACCGAGACTCATTTGTTCGATTTTGTTACTACAAGAACTTGCTTTGGATATAAAAGATAAAAACGACTCAAAAAAATATAGTAGCAAACCATCCTCCATCACTCCCTATTCATATTAACAATACTTCTAAGGAACATATCCAAGATTCCTTTCTCGATGGACAATCGTTAAACATGAACACTTTTTTTGTGGTTTTCTCATTATGTTAATTACTTGACCACAAGAATGATGTTGGAGCATCGGACGAAACAAAGCTCAAAACACTATCCTTATTGTTGAAAATTTTCATGATAATTTACCGTTGTTTAATATTTAGACATGACATGTCAATTCTAATATTTAATTTTTTTTAAACGACAAATCTAATCTAATTAAAAGACTCCTAATTTTTTACTTATGTCCAAATGAGTTTTGAAACACAATCCCAAACACCCGTTAACTGGAAAACGGCCTACGAACGAGACCCAACCCGTTTAATGGGAAACGGCTTACGAGACCCAAAATTACAGGTTGTTTTACACCCAGCTATACCCATGCCTTCAGCATCCAACGCCTATTGGAGTCGATTGCCGGAGATCAAGATTTTTTAGCCCTAGAAACCTGCAATAATCGAATCCCAATTCATTCAACGACCCAATAGATATGTTGCAGTGCATATTTCTTCTTTCCGATTCCGGGTATGCTAATTTTCTTCTTTCTAGTAAAATAATTCAAGTTGAAGATAGTATTGTTTCTGTTTGCTGATTAAAATCGACGATTGCAATCTGCAATTTAATTTCCAGAGAGGTGATGCTAGAGAAGCAGCTGACTGGGCATCGTGTTGATCGATCAATCTGCGCTTGGTTTTGGGAGCAATCGATCTCTCAACCTGATTCCCTTAAGGTATTCCTTCGATTCTCAATTCATATATAATTCCATCAATTCAATTAATGGAGATTCGTTTTCGTTAGAATTCATTCGTTTATCTCTCGTTATATATAGGTTTTATCAGTAATTGCTTCACCAACCCATTACCTTTTCCAAATTGTACGTGAAGGGATCACCTTTTTAGCCTGCACTCAAGTTGAAATGCCACCTTTGATGGGAATAGAGGTTAGTATAATTTACCACTTAAAAGATTTGTGTATAGAACCTTATCTCTCATTTGTAATAATTTAATGCCTAATCCACTTTCAGAAAACTTGTCATTCTGTTGATAATTACATATTTCATCAAGGAAAAATACATTTTTTTGACTAGTAAACTTCTAGTTTCTTTGCAGAGTAGCTGATGTCCTCTCAGATTATCTTGGAGGGTTAAATGAAGATGTAATAAAGGACAATTTTGTAATCGTATACGAGGTATGTAACATTTAAAATATCCATTTTGAATTTGTTAGAAACTCTTTTGTTCTTGATTATGTCAAGTATCAGTTATATTCATATAAAGTACATTGTTTCTTACAGCTATTGGATGAAATGATAGACAATGGATTCCCTCTAACTACAGAACCTAACATACTAAGGGACATGATAGCTCCACCAAACATTGTTAGCAAAATGTTGAGTGTAGTCACAGGTAACACTTCTAATGTCAGTGACACACTTCCAGGTGCCACGTCATCATGTGTGCCATGGAGGACAACACAATTGAAGCATGCAAATAATGATGTGTATGTCAATCTTGTTGAGGAGATGGATACAATTATAAACAGGTATGACTTTAGTTGTTTTTCTCACTTCTCTTTTTGTTGAAATGGATCATAAATTCTTTGACTTTTTGTTATTCAGTGATGGGGTGTTGGTGAAATGTGAAATCTTTGGTTTGGTTGAAATGAACTCTCATCTTTCGGGTATTCCGGATTTGACCCTTTCATTTGCAAACCCTTCGATTTTGAATGATGTACAATTTCACCCCTGTGTTCGATTTCGACCATGGGAATCAGAACAGATACTCTCCTTTGTGCCTCCAGATGGACTTTTTAAGCTCATGAGTTACAGGTATACATATGGTGATATGCATTTGTTGTGGAATTGAAATTTTACCAAGATCTATTTACACTTTTGGTCCCCGTGTCATATCAGTTTTCTTTTTTAATATGGTCCAAAATTGAATCTTTTTTCATTTTTCGTGCCCATTTCACTGTTTCTGAACGGTTTTCGCCCCTAGGTCGTCTAGTTCAGCTGTTCAATCTATGAAAATGACCATTTTGCCCCTGTCTTTTCCATTTTCTCCATCTCAAACCCTAATACATTCAGTTTTACCACAAATGATGACAAATGTTGGTTTCTTGAGGAGGAAGATGAAGGTGATAAAGAAAACGGAGAAGGAAAGGGCAAAATTGTCATTTTGTATATTTAATAGTCTGGGACGTTAAATTAGACGACCTATGGACGAAAAATGTTAAGAAGCAGTTAAATAGGGATGAAATGTTCAAAAGAATCTTTTTTGGTCCCTGTGCAATATTCATTCTTTTATATGTTTTAAAAAAAAGAATCTTTTACAATTTTCATCCTTATATCCCTGTTAACGTTTTTTGTCGAAGGGTCATCTATGTTAACAACCCAGCTGTTAAATTTTATGATAATGACCATTTTGCCCTTGCTTTCTCTATTTTTATCTCAAACCCTAAGTACGTCCTATTACACCATAAATGATTACGAATTTTGGTTTCTTGAGGAGGTAGATGAAAGAAATGGAGAAGACAAGGGCAAAATGGTCATTTAGACAACCTCAGGTTGAAAAACATTAAGAAACAATGAAATAGCAACGAAAAATGGTTTAAATTTTTTTCTTGGACCGTATCCGAAAAAAATGATATTTCACAGGGATGCAAAGTGTAAATTAGGTATTTTTGACTAATCTTTAGTTCCATTACAGGGTGAAGAAGCTAAGGAATATTCCTATATATGTAAAGCCTCAATTGAGTTCGGAATCAGGCACATGTCGTATCAATGTAATGGTCGGAATCAGGAATGACCCCGGAAAAGCCATTGATTCCGTAGTTGTGGAATTCCGACTCCCGCCTTCTGTTTCCTCAGCCAATCTCACTTCAAATCATGGAACAGTAAACATCCTTGCTGATAAGGTATCACCATTCTTTCTTTCCTTTTTCCAATGTATATATAAATGGGAAATGACGAAATTGCCCTTGGTGTGATATGACAGACGTGTAGCTGGTCAATCGGGAGGTTTCCAAAAGATAAAACCCCACAAATGTCGGGAACATTGGTGCTTGAAGAAGGGGTAGAAAAACTCCAAGTAAAACCGACTTTTCAAGTGGGATTTAAAATCATGGGTGTGGCTTTATCTGGTTTGAAAATTGGTAAATTGGATTTGAAGAATTTACCAAATCCTGCTCACAAGGGATTTCGAGCTCAAACTGAAGCTGGTTTATATGAAGTTAGGTCATAGTTGTGGTCAACTTATGTTTGATTATTTATTCGGCTTTTTAAAAGAGTGAAGTTTGTGTTTGGATTATTGTTAATGGAGTAATAGGTATGTTTGAGCCAAAACATGGTTTGCATTTTTTGTGGTTTTGGGTTTACATTTTTTTTAACTTAATGATAGTGGGTCAACCATGTAAATAAACACTTCATTTGAGACATTTTGAGCAAAACTTTCTTTGTTGTTTTCTTCCTAATTATTGGTTTATGTTTCTTCTATTGCACAAGAAGTCTTTATAGGATCATTAATTTTTGATAGTTAAGCCAAAAACTCAAAATTCAAAATCAACTTTAAATAACATATGCGTATTGTTTGGCAAAACTAACAGGTAGCTAGAAGCCTGTAGCTTTTATCTGTGTAGAAGTTTTTGGTATATGACATAAAAGCTAAAAGCTAAACACGTTTAAAAGATACTTGAAATCGTTTTTGGATTATAAGTTTTTTGTTTAAAATAAGAGCTTTAAGTTGTGTGGATTATATTTATGAGTAAGTATTAAAATAAATTTGCAAACAAGACTTGTTCCTTTAAAGAGAATGTGACAAAAACTTACCCCAACTTTTTTTTTTAAATCCCAAAAGAATTACATCAATTTTGGCTTACATAGACATTAAAGTAGTAGTAGCATATGAACACTAGTCAACTATAATCCATTACATTAGTTCAATAGAATGAGATAGTGTATACGACTTTTCTTCTGTGTCTTTGCTCAAATGTAGATATAACATCATCAATCACATCTTCCCAACGATCAGTTGCTTCAAGCTACATGCAACAAATAGCAACATACTTTCATTCATTAGTTTATTCTAGTAATTGACTAAAAATAAAGAAAATGGGCTAAATGCAAGAAAAAAGAGATGACACAAACCTCTTGACACAATGTTAAAGTTTGCCTAGCACCAATTGAAGCCTCCTCATGATTATCTTTTACTTCCAAGTTTATCACCAACACAGGTTTCAGAAGAATATGGTCACGAGTATGAAGATCTACACATAATTATCAACCATAATTAACAAAGTTGTATAACCCACAAGATGTAAAGATGACCAAACTAACCTTCAGCAACCATATCAAAAACTTTTTCCTCAAATGTGAATACAACATCAAATTGTCCATCTGCTATGTTTTCTTGCCACCTCTGAGGTGCAGTTTTAACCCCCAAGTTCCTCTTCAGCATTGGGAGTATGCCATTACGCTTATAGCTATGTAATAATTAAGAAATAGCAACTGAAGTGGAACTTTCATTTCAACATAAATTTATGCATAAACAGAAATACAGAATGAGGATTGAGGATTGAGGATACAGTTCAGGGTCTTTGCGCCTGAGTTCTTCATACATCTGCTTGTAAGGGGTGCCAAATTCATAGACGTTTGGTTCTCTTAAAGAAGGGCCTGGGAGTTTGACGTGAGTGCCTGTTCCATAAGAAGAAACATCAAAGCCTTCCCTTTTGAGTATGAAGTGAGCCTCCATGCTTCGATTCTGATTTGAAGAGCATACCATGGCATATCGGAGTCTCATTGTTGATGACAACCTTCCCTAAGAATCTTCAATGAGTCTTGAGGATGAAAGTGATGATTCCTAATGAAATTGGCAAAACGAAACATAAGTAATCGATTCAGGGAACCTACATATCCAGATAATACTGAAGAAATTGAACTGAAAAACTGAACCCTAAACATTAATGATTTTTATCGTAGCAAGTGAATTTGTAATTGGGAGGGATTTCTAGCCTTAATAAACACAAAAATCGTAAAAATTAGGAAAAACACATGAGCCAAAAGTCGCTATGCTACAAGCAAATCCAAGTTCGACGTATGACATTATTCGTAATCTCTATACAACCAAATCGTGAATCAAACGCTACTAGTAACAGGTTTGTGATTAGAATTACCTGTGAGTATCTCTGCCGGAGCAAAGTGGGAAAAGGAGAAGTGAGCGGAGTGGAGGCAGCGGCGATCGGAGGAGGATGAAGGCGTAGGAGAATTCGTAAACAGAGTACACTTCAAAAGCTCCACCCGACCTGGTGGATCCCAAACCCGAACAAGAACTAGGGCCTGATAAAACGGGTCCAAACCATAAACCGGTTCATGATTTAAACTTGTATAAAATAGGAAATTTTGATTTTGACATTAAGCTATTTTTTTTCAAATATGTCGCTCTATATATTACAATACTAGGTGTAAGACCCATATATTACATGGGTTAATTAAAATAATTAAATATAAAACCTAAATATTTAAGAACTTTGGATTTATAAGAAAATAAGAAAAATAATGAATTATTAAAATTGATTTTTTTTATCTCTTAAATTTAAATAAATAAACAAAATAAACTAATGAGCTTTAATTTGGTTATTTTGAAATAAAATGGTAAGTCCATTAATGAAATTGATATTCATTTATTACTACATTTATTGTAATTATTACATTAAAGTATTATGTGGAATTTATTAAAATAAAAAAACCCATAAAATGACATGTGGAAAAGAAATTAAATCAAAATAACTACAAAATGACATTTGACAAATTAAATGAGAGTGTGACATGTGCCAAAAAAAACCTTCATTTATTAGAGTAGATCAACTAAATGATTGATTCTTTCTCTTTTTCCGGTAACCATTTTCCCGAATTGCAAAAAAAGTCATTAAGTTTACCAAAATTTCGATTTTGACACCGAATTCAAATTGCACGAAAGTCACTATATTACCACAAAATTTCGATTTTGACACTGAGTTTTTTTTTTTTTTTCAATTATGTCATTACCTTTACAATTTTGTTGCAATGTCAATCAATTGACCGATTCAGGAGATGTTATTATGGTTTAGAAGTACGATTCAGGAGATGTTATTGCATCACATCCGCTAGACACTCCGTACTATCTAGTTTATATTTTACTCTAATCTTTATTGAAATTACATTTTATACTATGATTATATTTTGATGGATTTGAATGAATGTTTTTTTTATCTTATTTAAAAATGAAAAAATTACTATGTATTTTGGAGACGTTACATGACACTTTTTATTATAATGTTTAATGTTTAATTCTCGTTAGAGTATTTGTTCACAAATGGTATATGAATGCCAATTTAATGGTTCAAACTTACTTAAAAGTCGGTGGAAATGGTGTACTTACCCTTTCAGAAGATGTTATTGGCGTTTAGAAGCTCGATTTATACAAGTAAATGAAGACCCCTATAATGTCGATCCAGGAGATGCTTAGTGAGTTTGGACCACTAAATCCACCTTATAAGGGTCTTTCTTTACTTGTTGTACAAATCGAGCTTCTAAACTATAATATCACCCAAAAAAGTGACACGACATGAAAATAAACGAATTAATACGACACGATATGTTAGTTAAATGAGTTGGGTTAGGTTCAAACTCTTTCAACCCATTTACTGCTTTAACACGATACGAACCTGACGGTACACACTGTTTTTTCCGGGTATACTTATAACCCAAAACAACCATAACCAAAAGCTAACCAACGGGGTAACGGATCCGAAAAGAACAAATATGTCCTCCACAAAAGAAATATCGTGTAAATCTAATTGGACTGAAGTTCCCATAAAAATCATTTCGTTTTCTAGTTTAAAATATTCAGTTAAATATTTATCGGCTAATCGTATTCTTTTTTAGTATAAATTCTAAAGATAAATAAAATGATTTTTACTCTCATTTAAAGTTTTAAACTGTTCATTGAACACACGAAACAACGATCAATTTTCATCTTCATACTCTTGTTTTCGTTTACCACCTAGGGATATTTGTGGATTCTATGTTGCTCATCAATGTAGCATTATTGGTATTAGTAAAAGCAAAGAAATCATTGTCATGACCTCCCCAATCAACGACAAATTATTATGACTTAATTTAGAATCATAGAGTTAGATTTTTTTTTTCAAGAGTCAGTGACCCTTACACAACTTAAGAGGCAAAAAACATGGATATATTCCTACACATAATGATATTTTTAGTATCTGATGCTTGAACCATTACGTCGTATAAGGTTTTATTAAATCCCTAACAAAGCATCTACATATCTTATTACTTATTACTAGCATAGCAAACAAGTGAACAATAAACATTGACTTGGGTGGTGTTTATTTTTTTAGAAGCGGTTTTTGAGGTTTTTTGTCTGCGACAAACATACATTTTTACTGAAAACAGTTTGCTTTTTAAAAGACCGTAGAACTAAAAAGATTTTCGTTTTATCTTCTTGTAATTTGTAAAAGGCATGAAAAAGTTTTTTATGTTTTGCAAACCTTCTGACATAAAAAAATTAGCAATATATTTTTCATATTTTCTTCATCAATTTTCTTCCGCCTTCATCCCCACCTCTATCGCCACTGCCGCTATCTTTGCCACCACCGCCACCAACCGTCATTAACTATAGTCGAGAAATCAATGCCGTAAATATATATTATTTATACATGACAACATGTAGGATACCCATTTTTTCTATAGATGTAGTTTATCTCCTTAAATACAAACATATTATATGGTCATTAACGTTACTTTATCAAATTAACACTTGTAGATGCTCAAAATATAATGCTTGGATAGATGTATCTCCTCAAATTATTGATCCAAAATTGACAATTCCTTAAAAAGACTTATTTATGAATAATATCATTAAATTCAATTTAATAAAAAAATATATGTAAAAAGTATGATAAAAAACATAGTTTAGATTGTATTTTAACTTTAATAGTTATTGGAACTTGAAATAGTTTCTTCTGTTACGGGTTTTTTTTTGTCGTGACATAATACTACTAATTAAATTTAAACAATAACAAAACCGTTTAATCTTTATTACCCAAATGAATTTCTCTTATATTTACCGTAATGAAGCTTCAATTTGGGTTTGAATATTTTTCTTGGTTACTTTTAAACATTGCCGGATTGCTTAAAGAGTAAGATAAAGTTAGGTCTGACAATCGTGTCGTGTTCGGGTTGATAGGTCGCGGGTTGGCGGGTTAAAATACACCAACCCGAACACGACCCATTTAACTATACAGGTCACGGGTTGTCGGGTTTGAAACATAAACTCATATATGACCCGTCAACTCATTTATTTATACAGGTTCATAGGTTGGTGGGTTTGTGAGTCAGATGTTAATACTAGATGAAATTCTAATAAGGCGCCAACCAATAACTAGAAGTCAATACTCAATCATTCTACTCAAGCGCCAACCAATAATTAGAAGTCAATACTCGATCGCAGGTTCTTCGTGAGTTCATGGCTTCGCAACTCGCGTTCAGGGCTTCAGGCGTTGGCATCGTTCGATTCATGCCATCGTTTCTGTCGTTCATCACAGAAAGGAGATTGGGAGAGGGTTGTTTATTCGATTTTGTTTGTGTCATTGTGAGTACTGAGATTATTTAGGGCAAACGTCAAACGACAAACATGTTACACAGGTCAAACGGTCAATGACATCCTATCCTAGACGTATAAACTGTATAATGCTTAAGTCTTAATACATTTATAAAATATATAACTTTTTTATTAAAATTCTAAATGGATTGGCGGGTAACCTGTATATTTTTTGAGAAACTCATATATGACCTGTCTAATAAACGGGTTGGCAGGTTGGCGGGTTGAAAAACTCAACCCAAACTCGTTTATTTCGTGTCGTGTCGAGAATTGTCAGACCTAGATAAAGTAGTTTTTTTTAAAATTTTTAATGTGATAATTAAGGTGAATGGTTTTAAGAATATAATCAAAACAAATTAGAAACTATGATTAAAGGCTATCCATGTCTACTTTTTATAGCTATGTAGTAATAACTTTAATATTTTAGTTACAACCCATGACATTATTTAAAGTGCAGAAATTATGTATTTGGTGTTATGTTACATATCGAGAAGCATTTAAAATATCTATATGTTTTACCGTTACTTAAATGACCGACGCCAAATAACCGCCTACCGAAATATTGACATATTTCGATTGTGATTGCATCAGGAAAACGATTTTTAGAAAAAAAAATTATGGTTTATTAGTCACTGATTTTTGGTATTACTAATCGTCATATGCATGGTATGCGATCACACGGGGTAAAAATGTTTTGATTGTTTTAATATATATAGGTAAGACTTAAGAGTTCATATTTGAAATGGACATAATTTTGTGAGACTGAGACCAATTTTTTCTAATGAAATATTCTAATATTTTAGTATTCGTAAAAATATAATATGTGTAATATTCTAACATTATATGCTTTTAGAATATTTCAATGTAATATGTGTTAAAAATATTGTTTTAGAATATTAGAATATTAGAATATTTCATTAGAAAAAAATAGTTTCACGGTCTCACAAAATTAGACCCGTCTCAAATGAACCTAACTATATATATATATATATATATATATATATATATATATATATATATATATATATATATATATATATATATATATATATATACACAGAGAGAGACACACACACACACATAGAGAGAGAGAGAGAAAGAAGTTTATTTGAGACCATGATTATTTTGTGAGACAAGGGGACCAATTTTCAGCTCTTGATTAAACTTGATCTGATTGTTCTCAATAAAACGTGATTCGTGTTGATTAGTTTTGATTAAGGGGCTTAGTTAGAGTATCAGTGGTTGTTTAGTCATTGTTCAATTTTTTTTATTATGCTGACAATATGTATAAGCGTATAAGATTCTTGTTCGTTTCATGGAAACCCTAAATTGAGAATTACGTATTTCATAGAACAAGATTTAGATCCATTCACCTTTCAAATTATAAAATAGATATTTATTTCAACAATCAATCATCAATTTGTAACAATCTGATATAACAAAATCTCAATTTTATCTAAAGATAAGTATGGAATCAATCAAGATGAAAATTTCAGCAAATCGATCATAAATTCAGCTCTTTTACATGAAGATTTTGGCAAATTGATCATAAATCCAACTCTTTTACATGAAGATTTTAGCAATCTCGGATGAAGATTTTAGAATCAATGATAACTTCATATCTTCTTCTGCAACTTTAAGCTTCATGAATCAACATTGATTTGACAAAGATTTAAACAATTCATCGTTACTTCACTTTATGTTCAGAAATTCTTCTCTTCATCAACAATTTGATTTCGTTTTCTATAGAGTTTCAAGGTTTGATGTTTTTTTTCATTTGACATTGATTTCAGCAGTTACAATCTATGATATTTTTCATAAACTTTATCAACAATCGATCATTTAGCGATTTTCTATAAAACTAATAATGTATGTACAAAGCAGTTTCTATTCTCGAGCAAATTCCCTTAAACTATACATGCATTCTATGCGTTTGATGAAAGTCCTGAATGAACAAAGAGTTTGATCTATCATTCCTCTTTCCCACGACTAAAGTCTTCTTTAAGAATAGGAGTATACTTCTTAAAATATGAGTCACAATTTGTGTAAAACAATGTAATGTTAACTACTCTTATTATATTTACCATAGTTTTGTTAAAACATGTTTTTTGTTGAACATAAAAATATTAGAGATGTCTTTTTAGCATAGTCTTGTTTGAATATGCTATTGTTAAGTTGCAGAAAAGGATTGTGCTAAAGAAAAGACTAGATGCTCTTAAATTTACCATATGTAAATTCAGGTGCATGATATATGTGACAACCCGGAACTTTTATCATGTACAATTGGTCAATCATATCGATAATTAAACTCAATTTTATCACCTTTTAACGCCGTTTAAGGGTTTGATAAAGCGTTGTAAGCCTCGTACAATCAAAGTTTGGGTCCTAGGTCGAGTAATGCCAAGTCATAGTTCAACATTTGGGCCATACACCCTCTTGGGAGGAGTGTACGGCCGTACACATGGGTGTGCGGCCGCACACCCACCCCTCAACCGTACACCCACCTCCATATAAAGGAGGAGACCCCTTCATTCACTCTTTTCCCCTTTTGGTTGCACACTACTTTCTCTCTCTAGAAACTTCATCCAAGAACACTCTAAGGGCCTCAAAAACGTGAAGTACTCCATCATTCAGCTTGTTATACTGGTAAGACACCTTGATCTAAGCCTAAAACTCTTCATGTTCTTCGTGTTCTTCATCACTTGAAGGTGTACGGACACACACCTCCATAAGGTGGCCGTACACACCTTTAAAGACTCTCCAAGGTGAGAGTTTGGCCTCCATCTACTAGTTGGACTTGGTATTGGCTGTGAAACACCTAAAAATCGACGTTTTGGGCATGAATGAAGAGTGTACGGCCGCACACCCCCTCTGTACGGCCGCACACTCCCATGTACGACCGCACACACATCCTGGCCGCACACACACTCTTATGGCCGTACACCTCCCTCGTTTGATCATATAGGGTCCCGACACTTAGTTCAAGCATTTCCAAGTCTTTAGGGTGGTTTCCCGTCATGTTTTGTCATGGAATACCTTAATCTAATGCATATATGTGTACTATATGTTAATAGGATCCGCTTGCGTACGAAACATCAGTTAACACTCAGCACTCGTAACCGATCGTACACCCGAATCCTACGTTAAACTGTGAGTTCATACCCCTACGCTTTTATAAGTTTTTATAACGTTTTCAGGGGG